TATATATATATATATAATAAATTGTTTATTTTCAGAATTTGCTAAATGAATAAACCAATTTGAATGTTACCATAAAATTATATTTTGTGTATATATATGGCAACCTAAATCATTGATTCTAATAAATATGATGAAATCAAAAAGAATCTTTCATAAATGAGAATTCTAAAATTAGCGCCATATAAATTTGAATATTACTATAAAATTGTATTTTGTGTATATAACATATATGCTAATCCAAATTAATGATTCTAATTAAAATAAAAAAGAATAATCCATAAATGAAGATTCTAAAATAAGCTACATAATTATGTACAGGAAATCAACTACATAAATCAAGATTCCAAAATAACCTTTACCTACAAAATAACTATTAACTTAATTAAAGGAAACATATAATTGTCTAAAATAAACACAGAATGAAATCTGAGTTATATGGAAACTATGCAATTAATGATTTATTTTTTTATTTAAATAGTATTATATTATTTTCATTTATAGTAAGTAATTAATGTTGATGGCGGGAAAATGTTACTAAAAATGATTTAAGTTAATCCTTATTATATATTAATAGATATTAATTTAATTTAAATTCAAAATAATTCATCCAATCTACTCTAAAATAACTCACTTTAAGTTTGACCATAACAAGTTAGATTCATACCGAACGCCGCCTAAAAGATTCTGAACGGTTAATGTGGGTTGAGTCTCTTTTTTAAAGAAAATATAGAATAATGGATTGCAATAGTGGCGGCTTCGATCAGTTGAATATTTCTACCTAATCCGTCGCTAGTCCTACGGCTTTGATCTGTTGAATAGTTTACCTTTATATAGGCATACTTTGCCAGCTATAAGAGCATCTCCAATGGTGTTATGTCTATTTTGATATGTATGTTGTGGAGAAAAGCAACACAAATATTTTGTCTCCAATGGTGAATGTCTATTATAAAATACATTGACATGTGTAAGAAAATAATTAGTTGGTTGAGAGAGATATAAAATAAATAATATAATATCAATAAAAGATGTCTAGAAGTCTTTCTACATCTAGAAAGTCTTCTAGAACTTTTACATGCCACATTGAATTTTTCGGGACATGTGGCAATAGAATGGAAGAATGCACACTCCATTGGAGATGCTCTAAGCTATTTATTTTAAGTTCTATGTGCTTGAGAGTAGACATGGCCCGTCAACGGACCGGACCGACGGGTCTCCCATGGGTGACCCTTAACTAGCCCGTCAAAACCAAGGACCGTTCTGTGGAACCGGCCCGGTCTTGGACCACCAGGCCAGAAAAAAAAATAACAGACTCAGATATGACCCGTAAAGTCACGGTGCCGGTTCTCGGAACCGACAACCTACAGCCAGTTTCTGGCCGGGCTTGGACCGGGACGACGAACCGTGCCGGCCCGTTGCCATGTCTACTTGAGAGACAAACTCCCTATATCTAAAATCATTGTTGCCTTTTACTTTATTTTCATTCATATGACTTTCTTATTTATTAATAATCTTGGCTAATATAAACCTTTGATTTCAGTTTTTTTCATTTAGGAGGCCTACACTTATATGTGCAACATACTTTGTTAATTCGTAGAGTTATTGTTCCTCCATACTACACAAAATGAGTACCAAAATATATAATATTGTATACTATGTTTTAATAAATTAGACGAAGCTATTTGTCCTATTTTTGTTTTTGTTATTTTCTTTATTTATTAGCTTGTTTTTCCCCACATTTTAGGTGTCCTCGTAGGAATTTCGTTCCACTTGGTCTAGTTTAGTGTGTTTCATATTATTTTACATGTTCAGTTTTTTTCTATCAAATTGCTTTTTTTCGGATCTTTTTTTTGGTACAGGGACCTTCCGGTTTCCGGATCCACAGGAGAACCGACTAATCCAGAATCGAGCCGGGAGGACCACAAGGGCGGCAAAGCTCTCCCTCAAGAGTTTTAACACTGCTGCATTCCCAGGGCTCGAACTCGAGACCACTAGTTAAGCTGGAAGAGACTCAAGCCATCTCATCCAAGCGCTCTTGGATGCAGGATCGGATCTTTGATCAGATGTCAAGATCACTCCATGACATCATGTTGATGACGGAGACAGTACCAGTTCAAGCGTGATTTTTATGCCCAAACCGGCACAGGATGTCAAGATTCAAAGGAACGAAACCCGATGAACACAGACAAAATTCGTTGGGGGGTGCCAGCCTGAGCCCATCACACAGGGCTCTCGCGCGCTTCACCGCTGCTGAACATTATAAATATGCATTTCTTAACAAGTATGATTTATCTATAGTGATGAAAAATATATGACCTACTTTCAGAATATGTCGAGATAAACTAGGTCCCATTTCATTTTTATCCTATGCATTCCACCAGAACTCCATTATTTTCTACGTTTACAAATTTATAAACGGTTAAAAAAACTAAATTAACCATAAAACACAAATAATCAGATCATTAATTAACCTAATAAAATATAAGAGAGAAATTAAGAAGCAACAGTATTACTTCTTCGAGTAGCCAACTGGGTCTCTCCTCGTATTTGATTCTGATCATTGACAGGTTTTTTATGCTCGTCATCTTTGTTTATGTTGTTATTTTTCATGTCGCCATAAAGGTACGAAATAAATCCCCAAAGAGAGAGGAAAAGGGAGATGCCCTTTTCTGCTTGGAACTTCTCATTGTAGAAAAACACACCTAAAACTTCAGTTATGGGGAGCAACACGGTCATGATGACGCCCGATAATAGGGAGGACGAGTAGAAAATCACACCGATGGCTCCCACGAAAAAACACTGCCAAATTAGGGCGTTTAGAGCAACAACTATGTAGTATTTGGTCTCTCCAAGTGTGTATGCTTTTGCTTCTCTACCAATTGCCTGCAAATTATTAGGAATATGAGATCTTAAAATTTATAAACAAGGCTACGTAGGGAAGGAATGGGTGGCACAACATTTTTATATAATTTGATTATAATTGTGTAAATGAAGCTTGAAGAGTATTATTAGCTTTGTTTAAAATTCATTTAGTTAACGAGTGGTCAAACTCCATTAGTTAGGCTTATAAAATAATAATAATAATAATAATAATAATAATAATAATAATAAATATAATAATAATAATAACAATAATAATAATATAATAATAATAATAATGGATTAAAAATACAAGACTCAACTCTGCACAAAAAAACAAGTGGCATGACATAACTTGAGAGTCCTTCTGACATTATCTATCATAATAATAGTTATACACACATTTGATCTAAA